TTTCTCTTATTTTATTTTTCATTCACTCATACCCACTAAGGTTCAGCTTCTCCTTTAGTCTCAAGTTAATGTTTTATGTAACGATCCTAAATTTCTACATACTCAGAGTCGCTACTAATGTCTCATGTTTATCTCTTAAATGCGGAATATAACTCTTAGATACTCATCATAACTGACGGAAAATGTAGAACACATTCAGAACACTTCAAACTATTAGAATACATTGTCGGTCTTGCGTGTTTCAAAACATAACGCTGAGATTTAAAATTAAAACAAAAATAATTACAAATGAAATAATTTAAATAATGAAATGCAAACGTCCTATACTGTCCCAAGATAAGAATTTAAACATGTAACTATATCCTATGCACATGTCACAGTCTCTATTTTCGATGTCACCATCATCTGTACATGGACGTCTTACCTTTACCTGAAAATGATATGTGGCACACGGCCTGGACATTTCGAAAACTACTCAGTAAGTGACCCTACTATAGGGGTCATGCTGTTGCAAACACATGCAATCATGCTCTTGGGATCTAGCTCTAGCTCATCTAGGGGTGACCTCGAATCTCGAATAAATTGGATATGTAGTACTTCTTTACACACGACTCTACACGACTCACACGTGCGAATGTGAATCCTCAGGACGCTCGCTTGAACCCTTTGGTCAAGCTAATCTGTAGCGACGTCCGGAAGTCAGCGAATCCCATAGTGTCATGAACTATTCAAACTTGGCTAATTATCATAGGTTTAATCTATGGAGCAGAATTGAGAGTATGAACTATTTATTGGGATTTTTTTCTTGAGGCTTCAACCCCCAAAGAAAGGAGATAGTTAAAATATAAATATATCTAAGAATAGCTCAATAATCCTCATATTTGAGTAGAAAGATACTCTAAATTTCCATACATAGAGTATGAGAATGAAGTCAGGATAGTTGCATTTTCTATTTAAGTTATAGCCCTTAGGTTAGATGTCCTCGTTCAAAACAATAGATTCTTATACGACAGTTTAAATATTCTTATAAATTTTTCAAAAGTGTCTTCCCACGTTGATTGAAGAAGTGAATGAAACATTTCTTATAAGAATGTGGAAACCTTTTTACCAGACACGTTTTAAAATCGAGAGACTGAGGGTGATACGAAACAGGCCAAATCGGATAAAATCTGCTAGCGGTAAGCTTGGGTTATTACAAATGATATCAGAGCCAGACACCGAACAATGTGTCAGCGAGGACGTTGGGCCCCAAGGGGAATAGATTGTGAGGTCCCACGTCAAATAGAGTGGAGAATGAAACATTCCTTATAACAACGTGGAAACTTCTTCCTAATATATGTGTTTTAGAACTGTGAGACTGATGGCATACGTAATTGACCAAAGCGGATAGTATCTGCTAATGGTGGACTAAAATTTTTTCACCCGTATCCATATTTTCATTACATAGGTCTATACATCTTTTCTTTTTTTTGTTTTTTTCGTCAACATTGTCAATGTGTAAATATTACTCTGGTCAAAACAAAATTATCATAACTAAATATATAAATAAATATATATATATATACTTTCTTTTTTTTTTTAATGAAAATTTTGAAGTTAAGGGTTTACTGTGATTCCATGCAACTAAACTTTGGTAAAACAAGAGGTGTGGTTTCAAACATATGGAATGTGAAATTTGTAATAAGACACCAGAATAGACCAACAAAGTTGTTTATTTGAAACAAACTAGGTATCATTATGTTACATTGCATTGTAATGAAACTATAAAAAGATGGTGGAGTTCTGAGAAGATTTCCAAACCCATCACAACACGACATACGACTAAACTGATTATTTAAACACGACATTGGAAATGAAAAATTGAACAAGAAACCATAAAGGGTAATGAAAGGATTTGGTTTCAAGCAGGGCATTGGAAGCCAGACGGAAGCTTCTTTCCACAATAGTTCAAAAGCAAACCGAGGGAAACTGAGAGGTCAATATTGAGACCCAAGGCTCTGGCCTTCACCGCAGTGCAAAGGCACACAGCAGCTTCCAGGTCAACAAGACCTTGGATTAGGGTGCAGCATGGAGATTTTGGTGGTGAGCCAATCACTATGTGCACTAGACCGTCCAGCAAGTCGGCGCAGACACCAAGCTTGAGGGTGTCTCTAGGGCACTTGGGGAGTGATGGTGGCTGCCTTGAGGGGGTGGGCTTGTGGTGCCGGGGAGGAGACGGTGGGCAAGGGACATAGGTGGAGCTGGCCATAGTGAAGAAGAGGAGGTTGAGGAGGAGGAGTAAGGCAGCGGGTGAGGAGAGCTTGGAAGCCATTGGTGGAGAGATATTGAAGGGTTTGTAGGTTTGTGTGATGGCTTGTGAAGAATTATGAGAAGGGTTAGGGTTTTTATAGATGGGATTTGGGAATTTGTTGTATTTTAACACAAAAATTCCTTATAAATTGGTGGATATGAAACACCCAACTTTTTCATTTACTTTATTCAGTTTGATTGATTTGAGAGCGTGAGTTTTAAATTATTTTGTCTTTTTTAAAATTTTATAAAAATGCCAAATGGCCTAGAAAATAGACTAAGTGATGTTGGATAATAAGATATCCAATATTTTTTAAAAGAAATTACTGTGGTTTTTTTTTTTTTTTTTTT